CCTTTAAACACATTACAATATTGTTTTGAAAACCCCAACTAATTTTATACATTTTCCCCAGAGAATCCTTTCATGGCACAATTCTCTACTTTAGCTGGTAGTTTATTCTTCTTTCAGCAGAAACCTGGGGACTTTCATAACAGAAAAGAAATCTGTTTTGGGTCTCACCAGCTGTCTGGCCTACTCTCGCTCCATTTTCGGATAGTGAGGTGGCTTCAAAGAAACAGCTGAGAAAGCAGAGAGGGCAGTCCAGGAGCCTGGATCACTGATGAACATTCCCATCAGCATCAAGAAGCAGAAAGTCTGCTGGGCCAAGTGACTGGCTATATCTATCAACTTGCTGTATTTTTTCCACTTAGCCTTCCTTCTAGGCCTCTTTCCAACTCTACTCTTGTCTCTAAGACTCCTTGGCTTCCTTTGTAGCCGAGAGTCCATTAGGCTCTGGGCAACTGGCACACAGGGACCCACCTATTCATTTCCATATACTTGCTCTTAGCAAAATGCATTGTATAAAATAGAGGCTCAGTAGATGAATAAATAAATGAATGAAATGATTTAATGCTTCATAGTTCAAAAACATGCCCAAGAATTGGAGGATCCATGTCTTGTCTAAAATATCATTTTCAAAGATTTTTGAATAAATGTGTAAAAAGTAAAAAACAAACAAAAAACCAAAAAACCTAGTCAGCCCTGAAATCTCGCACATAAAAGTAATATTAAATGAAAGGAACAGGTTGTGTTGATATATTTGTGTATATGATTTCAAGAGGAAGGGAGGGATTGGAGAGAGAAAAGAAAAGGGTGACTGTATGATGTTTAACTTTTAAAAGTATGTAGAAATGACAAAGGAGTGATATACATGAATAAAATTATGAACGGACAATTGGTTTTGTGGCACACACTAGAGAAACATTTGATTGAGTACTCAGCACTATCTAGCAGATCAGTGCCTCACTTACCTTTTCTGCTATTGTTTACTGTAGAAACTGAATCTCTGAGGACAAAACATTTTGTCAGTTTTGTTCATTGATGCATTTTCTATATAGAAGATTGCCTGTTACTAAGTAGATGTTCAAAAGATATTTGTGGCAAAAAGACTATCCCAAATAAATACATAAATAAACAAATAAACAAATAAATAACAATCTGAGTTTGTGTCAGGCTTGCCACAGCAACCCATGGCTTCTTTCTTTCTTTCTTTTTTTCTTTCTTTCTTTCTTTCTTTCTTTCTTTCTTTCTTTCTTTCTTTCTCTTCTTTTTTTTCTTTCTTTCTTGGCATCTGTACTGTGAGGAAGATATTATTATTCTAATGAGGGGGGCCTCGGAAAGGTAGGGTTATCAGCTCAAATCCAGACAGTGGCTCACCTCATAAAAAGCTGCATCAGAATTCAAATTCTGGGTAGTGTGGCTACAAACACATGCTCTCACCATGACCTCAGTCTATCATGAGGCTGAAGCAGAATATTCATGAAGAAGATAATGTAAAAGCAGAGACCCGATTTCAACTCAGGCCATCTTAGAAAGACCTCATTGAGCAAAGATATCCCTTTAAATTAACAATGTAATAAATGTAGGATGGGAGAGATTAAAGCAGGCTAATAAATGAGGGAGGGCTAGCCAATGACTGTACCTCCTAATGAGATGTCCACCGTGTGTGGATAAGCAATTTCTCTGAGTACTGTCTCATGTGAAGGGAATAGTAAGGAGCTCTTCAGTGGCACACAGACATACCTTCTTCCACATACACCTGCTAGGGGCTCAGCAGAAGACAGTGAGTAGACGTCTGGAGTATTGCATAAAAGCTGTCTGCCCAACCAGTCAGAGCTATTAAAATCTATCTCTCTGAAATGAACCCTGAAAGCAGGTCAAACAAATCTAATTTTTATTGTTCCTTAAGGAGATGTCTGTGCCGGAGACAAAGGAGAAAGGCAAGGGGCCAGTTCAGAAGAGAAGAAGAAGGAAAAAAAAAAAACCTAAGAGGCCTTAAAAAATTAAATGTTCAAAAGAGCTGTGGCAGGCAAGATAAATGATATATTACAGTGCTGGTTTAAACCTAATTGATGACTAATGTTGTAATGCAGCTGAACCTATGCTGATCTATTATCTGTCTGGTCCAGGCTGAAGGGACACTGCAAGGAGAAAAATAGCTAACTGTTTTAACCTGATGGAACTTTAGAAAAATAACCAGTCTAGTTACTTTAAAAGATAAATGGCTAGGTGACGACCTTCTAATGTATATCAGGGTCTTGCAATGCAAAATCAAAAGTTAATTAAATAGAATCCAGCACAAGAACAAAGCAGAAAGTGTGTTGGAGAGACCAAGCGGCCATAATGAATTGTTCTGTTCGGTGCCTTCAAAGAAGCTATCAAACCGGTATCCAGTAATGCCAGACAGATAACATAGTAATCATTGAGAAGTCAAATTCACATGCAAACACCATCTGTGAAATACCTGCATATCGGCACAGCTAAGCCACAGGCACTGTGAGGGTAATAAGGACATCAGCAGAGTTGCTGTGATGGGTGGGAGGGGATATATATTGTTTTATGACAGCATTCAGAATAAAACATAAGCAAATATGTAAAGGATTTAGGAATCACCTTGGAAGGCTTCCAGTGGCCAAGTCTAAAGCAGTGTTAGCAACAGAGAGGCGAAAGTATTAAGTTATGCCAAATACTAAGAGGAATCAGAGCTAACATTACCAGTAATGGAACAAGTGGATTTCATGTGCTTCTTGATACAGTGAGCTAGGAAGTAGCCAGCACCATTTCCGTGGTAGCCTGCAAAAAATGAACAAACAGGAAATGATTATAAGGAAACATCAAACTAACTGATGAACTTACTACAAAGTATTTGGGCAGTTCTTCTCAAAAGTATTGAGCTTATAAATAAAATATAAAGCCGGAAGGAGGATGTGGAAGGTACTCCACATCAAAAGACCTGAGGAGACATGACCATTAAATGGAACCTACACTGGCCCAGGAAAAAACATGTTGGTGTGATAACTGATTTGAATAAGAATGGTTCCCATAGGCTCACGTGTTTGAACACTTGTTCTCAGTTGGTGGAATTGTTTAGGAAGAATTGGGAGATGCAGCCTTGTTGATGGAGGCTTGTCACTGGTGGCAGGGTATAAATGTGATTTCAAGGGGACAGGCTCTTTCCCAAGTGGGCAGCCAAACTGGTCAGCAGCATCCACGTGGTTTTGGGTTTAGAGGCCAGCCAATATGTGGCACGGCAAGCCCTTCCCATGAGAAGGTAAGAAGTCCTGAGAGGCCATTGTGTGAAGCTGTGAAAGTGATGCTTGGATGGCATTGAAGACCATGGGATGTTGAGCAGACCAGAGCCATGGATAGATGCCAAGGAGAGCTACACACAAGTAGTGGCACAACTCCACCTTAGGCCACCTAAGGCCTCCAGTGTCAGACATGGTGCCTCAGGATTTACAGTTTGCCTTGCTGGGTTTCAGTCTTGTTGTGATCTAGTATTTTCTCAGTGTCCTCCAATTCCTCCCTTTTGGAATGGTAATCTGTATTCTCTGGCATTATATGTTGGAAGAACTTCATTGGCTTTTTGGTTTTGTAGGTGACTTCAATGAAAAGATTGCCTTGAGTTTCAAAGGACTGAAATTTGGACTTTGAAACAGTATTGAGACTGAAAGAATATGAGGACTTTTGAACTTGGGCTAAGTGCATTTTGCATTATGATAGGGCAACAAGCCTCTGGGGCCAGGGAGTGGATTATGTTGGTTTGAGTACTTGGTTCCAAGTTGGTGAAACTGTTTGGGAATAATTAAGAAGTGTGGCCTAATGACGGGAGGGAATAAGTCACTGGGAACTGGCTTTGAACTTTCAAAAGGATTTTAAAGCAGGTACTCTCTGATTTTTCTTATATGTGGATCTGGTTGTGAGCTCTCAGCTGCTGCTCCAGTCTCAAAAAACAAAAACAACATCAACCAAAAAAAAAAAAAAAAAAGCAAAACAAAAAAGATTTTTTAAATAAATCTGTGATCATTTTAAAATTAAAACATTAATACAAAAGTGGCATTATTGTTATTTCTTTTTTTTATTATTATTATTTCTTTAAGGACCTACATCTAGGCTTATTATTCCAGAGACCATTCTCTTCAGAAGTGACTAAAGGACACCACCAAATCCTGAGTACCCTCATTTGATTGGAAGGGGAAGAAATTATATAGTAAAAATATATTATTATTATTATTATTATTATTATTATTATTATTATTATTATATTGATAACAATAAAGGTCATATCCCATAATAGTCTCAAGCGGCTTCAATGCAGTGTTGCCTGAACAACTCACATGGTTTAGACACTGAGGCTATAAAAGGACCATTGAGAATAGCTCAGCTCTGACACTGCCTACAGAGAGGCAATCGCCATTAGCATATGTAATGTATGTATTTATTGCAGTTATTCTAAGTTAATATTTGTGCTAGTGTCATTTATATGTACATATGTATGTGTATATATATATACACATATAATCTCTTCTAGTCCATATAAAGGCCTATGAGGAAGGTCTTGTCTGCATTTTAAAACATGTTGAAAAGATACTCACTTTCTAAAATAGACATTTTTTTCTAAATGAGAGCTTTGGCAGTGGCTAGAAGAATTGATGACAGAGTTTATGGCTATTGCTCCAACACTGAGGATAGACAGTCTTAAGAGTACAGAGTCTATTTCAAAAGACTTTTTCGAAGTTCAACTAGATCTGACCTGCACCTTAGGCTGAATGTTGCATCTGGAAGAGAAAAAAAAAAACAAACAAACAGGAGAGGCAGATTCTAGCCAACTGTGCAAGGCAAGATCACTGCAGGCCCACTTCATCTATTCAGAGGGCCATAATTTCTAGAGTCCAAGCAGAGTTTCACTTATCTCATCCTAACCAACAACATACCCGTCGCTAATAATATTCACCTGTTATTTTGATTAAACCAGGAATTTCTGAACATATCGTTGTGCAAAACTCACTACTGAATTTACCTTGCAGGGGAGATAGCAGGCTCACAAAGGTGCTTTTCCCAGGCAGAGTCTCATCCAGCAGTCTGGATATGCTGACTCCTGTGGTTTTCCCAAATGTGGAAAACTAGCTGCATAATTTGTGGCAGTAGAGGCCTGTGTTTAAGATAAACCCCAAAACAAAGCAAAGCAAAGGAAAGCAAAACAAAACAAAACAAAACAAAACAAAAACCTTTACTGCTTAGCCTGAGAGATTGAAAAACGTCACCCATTTGAGCTTACTGTGGACAAGCCATGATAACATTTTTCCTAGCACTGGCTCAATTTTCTTCCTTATCTGCACACTCCTCTTCCTCCTTCTTCTCTTCTTATTATTTCTTCTTATCTTCCTTTTGATTCTCTTCCTGTATGGAAAAACAGGAACACAAAAGAATCAATATTAAGTAGAGATTTTAGGAAAACTCACACAGTGGAGAAGCCCTGAGCAGAGTATTGCTGTTTGCTTATTTTTTGAGACAGGGTTTCTCTGTGTAGCCTTGGCTGTTCTAGACTCGCTTGGTAGACCAGGTGGACCTTGTGCTCACAGTGATCTGCCTGCCTCTGCTTTCCCTGAGTGTCGGGACTAACGGCGTGCGCCACCATGCCCCGCAAGCAGAGTCTTAATCATAGAAATTTCATCTTTATATGCAAAGATGAGATAAAAATCTTTGCCAGACTAAAACTCTCCTGGTGGAGGAGTCCATGGAAATAAGATCCTGTGTACAATGCTCAGAACAATGTTTGACTAATGAGGGTGAAGAGTAAAGAGCAAGGAATAAGTGGAGGCAGTGACAGTAAAACCTTAATAAATATTTGCACAGATAGCTTGGAATCTATTATGGAGATGTCATTAATTCCTCCAGGAGAGAGCTGCATTTGATTTGCTAGCCCAGGATAAATATTGAACGTGTATCTGCCTCTTCATCCCTCCAGACTTGACTCCACGTTCTGAAGATCAAGTTCAAGATTCCTGTTTAAACTCTTCAAAAGAAACTAAACCCTAAACACTCAAACGACCCTATGAAACCTCTTCTCATCATGACCTCCTTTTTCTGCATTCCGTTCCTAGAGCAAATTATTCCTGCTGTCCTTTCAGATTCTCTTGTAATCCAGGCTTTCTATAAGATAAATTGTTTGTCTGTCTTGAAGTATATGAGAAGGGTTGACTTATAAGCACATGCTGCATATGTTTCGAGGTAGCAAACTAAGAACAAATACGCTTAGAAAGAAGTCTTAACTTCTCCATGTGAGATCTAACAGGAACACAGAGGCTCTGGCCACATCCCAGGCTGCCCATGACCGCTCAAGTTCCTGGACCACTAAGTAGAAAGGTCAAAGTCATATTTTATGAAGCTCAGCTAGGTCAATGAAAATATCTTGTTGAAAAACCTCAAGTACTTTGCAAATAGATTTTTAGGGTTTTCTTGATAGGTTTATGAGAACAACATGGCTGATCATGAAGTTATATGAGCAAAAGGTCCAGAACGCATCCCTTGCAATTGATGTGTGCATCTCTTTGTACTCTTTGTAGACCTGCACTTAACCATCCAGATGAAAACATAAGTTCTAAGGTCAAGAAGACCTAGGTCCAAATTGCATTTCTTCCATTTACTGGCTATGGGCAGAAGCAAGTTACTTCATGATTCTAAACCTTGGTGGCTTGTGATTCCGAAGCTCAGTTCTCAAGGTTATTTTTAGGACAATTATTCCATTTCGTAATTGCATGTCAGAACTCTACAGCTTTTGGAGCTTTCATTGTTCTTCCCAATAAAGTCTTTGTAGCCACCGTATTTAATATTGGCGTTTCTTTTCATAGGCCCAAATACTTCTCATCCTCTTTTTATATGTTCAACCCACCACTATAACTATTTATAATATTATATATTTACCATTTCTTTTGTTCTTGGCTTTGTCTCTGAAACGAACACATATGTTTAAAAGATTTTTCCCCAATATTTCTGTCTATGGATGTTTTGCTTGCATAGATGTCTGTGCATTATATGGACATAGTACTTACTCACAGAGGCTGGAAGAGGGCAGGGATTTCCTGGAACTGGAGTTACAGAGGGTTACTAGCTGCCATGTGGATGTTGGGAACGAAACCGAGCTCCTCCGAAAGAGCATCAAGGGCTCTTAACTGCTGAAACATCTCTCCAGCCCTGAAACTCTCATTTTGTCAATACAAGGACAGACAGTTTTGACTGTTCTAATCACTGCTACATCTGTTGGGCATAAAATATAATAAGGACCTAATAAATATTCATTGCATGAATAGATGGATAAGTATGTGGTTAGCCAATGGAAGAATTCTGGTCTAGAATTTCTAGATAATATTGGCTGGTAAGTTTATATTCCCACTATGCTTTAGTGCCAAACACACAGTAGTAAGATATTAACTACAAAATAAAAAAATAATTACAAACATATTTATGTTATGTAAGATGGTAACATTAGGGGAAGTTGGATAAAAAGTAGGAACTTTTTGAACTAAATTCTCCCGAAATTCTTCCATCAGTGCAAAATTATTTCAAAAGCTTAAAAAAAAGGTTTATTTAAGAAAGATAAGAATTTCTATAATCCAGAAATAAAACAAAACACACAGCAATAATAAGGGGCTAAAGGTATGGTCCATCAGACTCCTCACTTAGCCAGACTACAAGGTAGACAGTTGAGAGTCAAACATAAGGAGGGACTAGCATGAGTTTCATGTGTTGGAACTGACAGTCTGGGGTAGACCTTGCTTTCCATGAATGGAGGTTGAAGTTACACTACCTGTTGCCCAGGACTGTGGGTTCTAGAAAGTTCAAGGAGGAAGAACAGCTGCACAAGTAGGACCCAGCCAAACTATCTGCCCAGTGGCTCATTTCTAGAGAAAGATAGAAGATGAATATTTCCAAACATAATATATATTTGTTTCAGTGTTAAAGACAAATAATTGGTCTCAGAAGGCCAATGATAAAAATAAGATTGCACATCAGTAAGATGTATGCAATTTCTACAGTAAGATATATACATCAGTAAGATGTATGTAATGGATACAAGGGATAAATTCTAACCTCCTAGAGAAGAGAGACAGATTTCCTACCATAGAACAGCACTAAGGTCAATAGCAGGTAATTTAATGAGAGCCATCACTGCCAGAAGACAAACAGGCACCTCCCCAGAATGCCAAAATAGCTTTGAATAAAGACTGATGCAGCTAGTGTTATCATTTAAGACTGTAGCGATATACTAGAATTGTCATAACCAAGCATAGACACTGGCTGACCTAAGCAACAGAAAACAATTCCCTCAATCTGAAAGTTACAAATACAAGATCAAGGTGGCAGGCAGTAATGTGTATTTTCCTGGTCTCCCTCTTCAACCTATAGATCATCGTCTTCTTGTCGTGTTCTCATGTCCTCACATGACATTTCCCATGGTGTTTCCCCTGCGTACACATTCCCAGAAATGTGTTTGGGTACCCTATTCTATTTTCTTGTAAGAATATACTCAGGGGGCCTGGAGAAATGACTCAGAGGTTCATAGCACTGGCTGTTCTTCCTAAGGTCTTTAGTTCAATTTCCAGCAACCACATGGTGGCTCATAACCATCTATAATGAGATCTGGTGCCGTCTTCTGGTGTATACGCATACATGCAGGCAGAGTATGGTATAAATAATATAAATAAATAATCTTAACAATATATATATACTCAGATTGGACTAGGATCCACCTTAATGGCCTCATTTTAACTTATTTATGCTTCTAACGGTTTTATCTCCAAAGATAGTCACATTATGAAGCTTATGGTTTTAGCAGATGAATTTGGGGACTGGAAGACACAATTCAGCCCATAACAAAGATTATGCATATATACATATATGCATAACCAAGACTCAGAAAATAATTAGCACACTTGTTATTTTTGAATTCTTGCCTTAAGAATATCAAATGTTATTTATTGGCAAGAAGAAATATGCTTCAAAATAAAATGGTAGAAACATATCTAAAAATTAAAAATAAAATTAATTACAAGTGAATTAAAGTTATTGTTGAAACTAGAGATTACCACAATGGACTCATTTAAAAAAAAGCCAAAATTGTCCAAAAATTGAAACTCACATCCTAGGTATACATCAAATAAAGCTGACAACAGCATTAATATTAAACTGGTCTGTGATCCTGATGGGAGTTTTAAAGGCTTATCTCTCAAAAATGATGTAACACTCTTTATGTATGTTATATTATATTATATGTACATAGTATATACTTTGTGTTTATACATAAAAATTGTCTATGTATGTGAATACTATGTGAGTATACATGTTATTCAATATATAAATTTAGCCTGAAGAATATTTGAACTTCCCCCAAAATGTTATCTTGGCCTTACCATTCTGGTATATGCCTCTTGGGTAGAATTAGTCATGATAACTTATGCATTCCTCATTATCTTCCATATACCTTATATAGTTCCCAAAAAGCATAAGTAGAAATATATCCGTTGTCTCTAATACACTACTCCCAGCCCCCAGTTACTGAGGCATTAACTATCTGTGTAACCCCAGGGAGTGGCACAGTGCATAAAGATGAACATTTTTTTTTTTTGGTTGAATGAATGAATCCATAGTTTCTATCCTCAGGAATGTCACAAGATAGAACAATAAGCAGCTAATATGCATTAAAAATCTAGATACCGAGCACACACTCTTTAAAGTCTTCCGGGGACTACTCTGTGTGTGGAAGGTATTTGGGTTATTTCCTTTTATAGTAAGAAGATTTGAGACAATGGAAATGCTGTAACTCTTCCAAAGTCACATAGTTGATAAACAGCATATCCGGAATTCTGCTCCAACTCTTCTGTCCTAATCTAAATCTTCCACCATTATGGTATATGACTCACATTTTGTATGAGAAACACACCACTAATAGAATGCAGTAATTACTAAGCATCCATTTGACTGAGCAGATAAACCTAGTGCCATTATGCTAAAAGGATTAGGGACACAAGTTACCATCTTGACAAACTGCAAAATGATTCTGACAGCATTTCCTATGCGGTGCTTTCTCTACTTCTCTGAAGAATGTGTGGGATGGGAAATGAGCAAATAAATCAAGCGGTTCCTTTCTTTAGATTCCAGCTGTTCTCTTGAGTCC